TATGATCAACTAGTTATAATGGGTGATTTTAACATTGCGTGGAATGTCAATTCTACTAATAAAAATATTCTCAAGTGTTCTCCGAGTTCCATGGGCCTGGAGAGGTTGCCTTTTGATCACACTCATCATGGTGCGGAGTCAGATTCTACAATTGATTACATCTGCTTGGATGAAGATCACTATGTAAAACCTTGTAAGCAACTGAGACAGCCAGAAATCTCTGCACATGATGTTATCATGGTTGAGTTGGATATTCCAACATCTAGAGTACCTCCAAGGGTTAAAAAATATTGGTCCTACACATGCATTGATGAAGGTAAAGAGCTTAATGATTTGAGTGAGGTTGATTGGAGTTTTTTGCAAAATGTAGATCTTGAGGACAAAGTGAGTCTTCTTACACAAGAGTTAACCAGAATACGTGACCACCATGCGCCCACGCCCTTTCAAACAGCAACCATCAAGAGTAGGCCCACACACTGGCTTTCATCTGATATTAGGGAGTTGATCAGGAGGCGTAATCAATGAAGTCAAAGTGAATGTAAAGAATGCCATGCAGGCATATTATAGACGTATTTTTTCTGAATGCAAAACAACTGCACATACTTGGAACATCATTAGGTCATTGGGTTTAATTAGACGCAATGAGCCCACTAAAGATCTCCCTATACCTCCTATAGAACTTAACAAGCACTTTATTGAACCGCAAGAGTCCCGATCACTACCATCACCCCAAGGACCGAGAATCTCACAAGAGCATCGCTTTTACTTTGGTCATGTTGAATTACCGGATATATTTAAGGCCTTCAGCTCTGCACATTCTAATGCAACCGGAACTGATGGAATAAATCTAAGATTTCTCAAAATATGCCTGCCGGTTATTTTTCCAATTTTAATTGATGTATTTAACTCATCACTTCAGTCTGGCGTATCTCCAGACGCATGGAAGCGAGCACTAGTCTTGCCAATGCCCAAAAAGATCAATCCTATTCTGGCAGGCGACTTCAGGCCAATCAGCATATTATGTACTTTGGGCAAGATTTTGGAGGAAATTGCATTGAAGCAAATAATAAGTTATCTTGATGAGAATGATATACCCGATTGTTTTCAGACTGGTTTCCGAAGTCAGCACAGCTGCCACACTGCACTGATCCGAATAGTCAACGACATTAGGAAGGCTATGGACAGGAACTGTGTTACACTGATGATAAGCCTTGATCAGTCACGAGCCTCTGATGTGGTCAATATTGACTTACTTGTCGCCAAATTTTTGACCATTGGCTTCTCTGATGTTGCGGCATCGTGGATCGGATCTTACTTGACTGAGAGATCGCAGACCGTTCGTGTACCCACTGGTGGACTTCCTTAGACACTCTATCGTGGCTCGGGTTTGCCTCAGGGAAGTTCACTTGGGCCATTGCTTTTCTCAATTTTTTTCCAATGATATTTGAGTAAACTATAGAGATTGTAAATATCATATTTATACTGATGACTTTTGTTTTTATATACAAGGTAAGGCCCAAGAGGCCAGAAATATTTTACAGAAGGCGAATAAGATTCTAGAAGATGTCTCAATGTGGTTAGATGTAAATGGCCTTATTGCTAATGATAAAAAAACAAAAGTGACTTGGTTTGGCACTAGAGGTATAAATAGTCGTCTATATGCAAATAACTCATTACCTGATGTATTATTTAATGGAGTAATTATTATACCCACTAAAAAAGTTAAGCTGCTGGGAGTCATGCTCGATAGTACATTGACATGGAGACCACATTGTACGTTGTTGCAAACAAATGTTACTCTGCATTATCACAGATTAGGCGCTTTAAGGACAGTCTCTTCATTAGCACTAGACTTCTCTTGGTACGTACACTTATATTTCCACACTTGGATTACTGTGCGTCTCTCTTTTATGGCTTATTATCGGAAATGGAACTTAAGATGACTCGTTGCTTGAATGCTACCCTTCACCTCATTGACGATATTTAAAAATTTGAGCATATAACACCAGCTTATAAAAAGTATGGTATTATGTCATATTTTAACAGAAGAAGATATGTTATGCTGTGACTTTTGCAGGGATTCCTTACAGCACAAAGGCCTGCATTTATTGCTGAACTATTTACTTTCAAATCTGCCTCACCAAATTCAATTAACCTCAGAAATTTGAATACGACAGAGTTACTAGTGACGCGTGTTAATCTAGATGCTTATAGACATTCGTTTACCATTGGAGCTGCTATTGAATAGAATGCACTGCCTGCTAACCTACGATCCATCTTAACTCCAGCATTGTTTAAAAGCAGATTATTTAAATATATTTTTAGTGAAGATTTTAGACTTAAGTAAAGGAATTAAATCTTATTTCATATGTTGTTATATGGGCAATTAAGTTAGCCTATATTTAAAAATTTTAAGAATACTGTAACCATCAGCAGATTTTATTACATTTGATTTTTACTATTTAATTTACTTTAAATTATTCTAACTATAAATTAACATTTTACCTAAAATAACTTCATTGTAATTAATTTATCTGTGAAATACCTTGTACTATTGTGACCTGCGTGTCACTAACCTTGTATAAACTGCTTTCAGCAGTCTTGTAAAAACTTGAGCCTAGGCTAATACGGACCGTAGGTCCTTAGCTTAAATAAGTACACTCTACTCTACTCTACTCTACTCTACTAACTTTCATAGACAACGGTACCTACCCACACATATACACGCCTATGTATTATTTTGTTTACAAACCACGATGAGACATAACCTTGAAAATTTAACTAATACCCTCATGCACGAATATTAGTGGACAGTGCTGATCATATATACATTTTAATAACATGGTAAGTGTATGCAAACATTTTTTTTGTCATTTCAACTTATATTACCTCTACCAAGATACCCCATTAGGCTGCACTGCTCCTACACATAATCAAGTTTTTGGTAAAATACATACGTAAACTTAAATAACACTTAATAATACAATAATACAAACCGTGGAAATATTGCTATATTAAGGAAGCTTATTGCTATGAGTTTACCTACATAGCTAGTTTAGTAATTTGATCAATATTCATTGTGGTGTTAGATGCATACATGTTTATAAAAAAGTTTTATAAATAATTGTATTTCGAGTAGAACTTGATGAAATTGAGAAAGTTTTCTCTTTTAAAGGTTAAAAAATAAAAAAAAGTGTACATAAAGTTCTATCCAGTAGGTTTACTTCAAAATTCCTCACTAATTCTCATCGAAATTTTCAAAAGGGGAACATAATTCTTCATACTACGTATATTTTTAAATTTGGGTGGTAAATGGGATTAAAAAATGTGTATTATACTATCACAGAAAAAATACCAGGATCTGGAAAAGATAAAAAAACGAGAGATACATGCAAACAGTTTCTTATTATTGCACATACATGTATTTTATGTAACTATTTTTATTATCATCTAAGGAAACATGGAATAACGCACTGTGAGGGTAAGCGTGAGAAGCGCGAAAGGAGGTGGAGCCCCACTCGTATATATATAACTAGTAATGATGCAGATAACAGCAGAAGTGCAGACATGGGCAATTTAGAAGATGACTTTGAATCATGTGATGAGTCATTATTTTAATTCAACAAAATAGTCTCTTTATTATGTCAGACTATAGTAAAATTAATATTGATATTAACTTCTTTTAGACTTTAATTTACTAAACATAAATCTTCATATAGAATTGTACTTAATTACTATCAAACTTGTGTAAAGAAGTATTGATGATTTTACTTTAAAAGCAATTTTTGTTATATCACTATTTAAAATGGTTTTACAGGTGAATATAGAATACGTGTAAGATTTATGGCATACTTTCATGTAAATAAATTTATTTTTGTTCGAACTTTTTTCGTCGAATTTTTTTTCCAAAGAATAGAGATATTAGATTTTGAGAAAAACCTAGAAACAGTCTGCGTATTTGTAGAGTGAAGTTATGTTGAGTAGCCCAAAGTGTATTAATATGAGTGATAAAGTAAACTTTGTACTAAATCACGACATCTAATGATTTTTTAAGGATGAATTGTGCGTACTCACTTGAGTTTTCAAAGAGTTTCCCACTTTTTCTCCAAAAAATTTCATGTTTTTAATGGTTTTTGAGGTTAGGAATTGGTTAGGAATAGAGTACATCTCAATGAACAGATTTTCTGTATTTTGCATTAACTTACCTGTAGTTTTAAAAAAAATATTGTTTCATCTGTATTAATTATTGAGATATGAGATTTGAAAAAAAAACATCAAAATCGTCCACTGTGTAGCGGTGCAAAGCATGAAACTTAATGCATAATAATGAAGGCTATATAACATAATGTTATTTAACCTAATAATATAAGGCTAATGACAACAGAAGCACTAGTCTTTTTCGATTTTTGAGATTAAAAGTTTGCAGCTTTCTGAGACATGAGGTTGTTGGTATTTGAACTATGAAATTTTCTGGGTGTTAGAAGTATACTGATGGGAAAGTTACGAAGTTGACGAAAAAACTATAAAAATAGATTTTTTATTAACGTTTAAGCACTCTACTAGGATTTTTTTACCAATAGTAGTACAAAACTTTAACTTGATTAGTGGTTTTAAGCATATATCTGTCAGCAAGCTACCAATAACTTTTGTTGTACATTGTATTATCTGATATTTATCTGCTATATCTTTTTCGTTCATTGAATATTCAAGATAGCCTTTTCTAGAAATAAATTTTACTATAGTAGATGTCAACTCTATATGGTCAATCTAATATTATTACAGAAATGTTTTACGAATCATAAGTGTTATTAAGAAACCTACTATCTTAACTTCCTTGAAAAAATAGCTTACACTTAGCATTAACAAAACTGCTTATGCTCTCACTGAATGCTACAAATCGGTCAACATAAAATTTACCACTGCATAAAAAACATAATTAAAAAAATTAAGATGATTTTGGCTATCCATTTATTTAATAGTGCTTTTATGAATTAACTTACTTTTTTTTCAGGTCGCCACCGACCTCCAGGGGGATCAGGAGCAATAGGATATCCTTCAACTAGTAAACAATCTTCTATAATTTCTACTAAAGGTAAGTGATTTTGGATTAAACGTGATGTTTCTTGAGCTCTCATCATAGTTGAACTAACAATTTTTTTGTACGGTACAGCCAATTCAGCTAAGCGCAATCCTGTTATTTCTGCTTGTAATTTACCTGAATAGACATTAAAACATACGAATTCTGCAAACCATTTATCATAGTAAAAAAATAGTAATAATAATGATAAAAGAGCTAGTTTTTAAGATTCTAGTGAGAAATTTTATAATTTAAAATTTACTGACAAATATAGAGTTGACTTGGTTACTTATAATCGATTGATTTAGTATATTTACAGTTTAAAATAGTGAGATGTGATACATTCCGAACTCGATATCGATAAAAAAATACACTATAATTTGAAGAAGATTATTTGTATTTCTTCCTCAATTTTTAATTAATCTTTCTAGATTTGGGCTTGATTACTTATTTAAAATTAAAAAATGTACTGCTTACCTTTTTTCAATAGAGTAGTAAGTTGTTAAATTAATATTATCATAAAGTTTTTAGTTCCAATTACTCTTTTCGAGAAAATAGAAAACTTTAATTATTCCACTATGTCCTTAATTCATCTATAATAATATGAGGCATTCTTTTTGAATAGAAACCTGCTATCCAAAATTTACACCACTCACAATGAGTCCAAAATAATTGAAATTGAAGGTTTTCGGCTGTATTTTTGTAACAAGGGTAAAAAAATTTACTTCATACCACAGCAGCTGCAATATAATGGCTAAAACTACGTGACATAAAAATTTTTAAGAAGTACTTCATTATGAATTCAACAATTTGGATCATGGTCTGTTAAGACACGAATAAAAAATTTAAACATGAACTTTTATTACGTGAGCTTTAGACTCTACATTTCGGGACATTAATTTTATACTATAGCAGTGCTAATATATTAGTATAACGGTATTAACGTCAATCAAATACCTTTAAGCCATTTTAGAGTAATTTTTTTCCAAAATATTTAATCATGGGATTCTGACCACTTATTTGTAACTGTTATAGTGTAAAATTAAGCTTGATAAACAAAGTTACTTTTACAGTTCGTAAATGTTAATACATATGTATGTATATTACATATATGAATTTAATTTGATAAGTTAAAAATACTTATATACTCAATTTATAACTGATAAAATTTGTTGCATAAATATTTTTTAAGTGTAAAGTGTGTTTATTCGCCTCATGGGCGGCCTGCAAAAATAGACTGATACCGATACGTGGCACGTTATAATGATGTTGAGGGGGCGTGGAAGAACTAAATGAGGGACTACCAAATTTTTTCGCTACGTCGAAACTAAGTTAAAAACTAACAAGTTTAACTTTATTTTGTAGGGGGTCCATTTGTGAACAACTTTTTTTTGTGAGGGGACTGTGGGGGTTTTTGTATAATATTAATTAGTATGTATATGTATATACACACAAAAATTTATGGTTATTTTTTAAGTACAATCGATGTCTGTGATTAAAATTATTCATTCATTAGATAAAAATACCATTTTGTGTACAGTTTAATTGTTCATTAGATAAAAAGTCTAGACAGTAATTTGTTTGGATGTCATTTTTAAGAGATCATTTATTTATTAAATGTAACGTGTTTTTTAGTCTCTTCAGTAGTTCTATTATAAGTTTATTCGCAAAATAATAAATTTTTTAATTATTGTATTCTGTTAACAACTCTTTGGTTTTGATCCGTTAAGTAGTACAAGTTAAATTACATTATTATAATATGTTTAGAACAATCTGGTCCATGAATTTTATTCTTATGCTTGGCACGTTAATATACTGTGGAGAGATGTGGGGGGACTGTGGAGGGGGGGCCAATAAATCTGGGGAGGGGCAAAGTCTAAACTGTGTTTCTTTTGATATCTAACGAAATTTTGTTTTAAAGTTAATACAATTTTACAAGTATCACAAACGTATAATAATTTTTGGTGTGTCTTCTGATACTTTTAACTTTTCAGGGTTCGAAAAATTTTGTTTTAGATACACAGCAGATGAATTAGTCTTTCAAACTGAAATATAATTTTTTATTACAAGTTGTATTCAAATAATTGTGAGTTCAATGATGTATTTTACCTCAACTATATTGCGTGATCTAAAATAAGTAACAAATTTAGTTTTCCAATTGATAATGTCTATTCATTATAAATTTTTTTTGCATCAATTTTTGTTACATTTCTAAGGAACCTGAAAAATATTTTTAAACTTTTAAAAAAAAGATAGTTACTTTTTCTCTTAAATTTTTTATTTTTCCCATTAAAAAATTCAGAAAAACTTTTTATTTCTACTTCATTTCCATGAATTCCAAATAGTGACGTGTAATTTAAATAATCCTTACTGTTAGTAACATCAGTATGATAAGAATTTCCAATAACCCAATTTTTAATCTTTTCATTTCTTTTCAAGTGCAAATACTGTTATTTTTTTTTTGAGAAGAAGACGCACTGAAAATTTATGACAAAAAAACGCAAAAAAAATTTTTTTATGCAACATATGCAAAATAGTGATACAAAATTGAAAACATTTTAATCGTCGTAGTAAAGAACATCAGGATAGTAAATGAAAACTATGTATTACTTNAATTATCATCACACAAGTCTTTTAATGTTTTATTTATTACTTCTAAAGCTTCCTTTGAAATCATTAAAGCTCCATCCCATATTATAATATCTACTTTCCTTGATTTTTTTCGTCGGATTCACGTTCTCGAAATGCTGTTTCAATGTTATTTTAATCTAAAGGTAGTCTAAAAGTTCTATGACTTAATTTTTGATTTCGATGCTTTTCGATAGAAGACTATTGAAAAAAGAATAAAACGAAAAATAAGAAAATTTTTAATTTTACTGTTTAGTTTTAAACTGGAAATGGTGGTTGGCACCCGGAGCAAGCAGGGGGCGGAGCCCCACTAGTATATATATAGGTGATTCTGTTGTTACTTGCTCAGATCGTGTCTGGTACTCATACTTACGTGCTGGAATGTAATCCAAAACCTTAAAAACGTCAAATTGTGTTAAATGTTGTTGACTTTACTTGACACATTATCTTATACCAATATATTGATCCCTTCATTGAGATAATCGATCATTTAGAGTCAAATTTTCCATTCCGACCTATTTCCTTAACTCAATTTTACTCATGAAAGCTTTCATCAGTCAACAATAAGGGTTATATACCACTTGGGCATGTAAGCATTCTGTACTCTAGCTATTGGTGATAAGATTTGTATCTCAATCCCACCAAAATCGATAAAGACGAGTGAGTTTTCACTGCATACATTTTGTCCACATATTTGCACCATAATCACTGTTTTAACAAAAATCAGTTCAAACTAGTTAGTTTTTGGATTGGAAACGCTAACCCATAGTTACTTTTTAAAGTATAAGACTAAAATAAATCAATCCTTACGACATTAGTACCTTAAGTTGTTACCTCTCGCATAACTAAGCTCTTCTTTTTGCGTATTTCGCGCGTACAAACATTTGATTTTGTTCTGACCACCATGAAATAGCCACTCAATGTGCGTGTGCAGGTACGCAAACTACTGTTTCTTATTGTATTTGAGTCTAGTTAATAAATCATGAGTGGACAAGTCATTGTAATACCTCTATGAGTTGCACGAGCACTACAAACTTTGAAAATTCCATTCCGAGCCTACCTCACCTCAAAGTGCCGTTTTTCTTTTTTTTTGTTTTAGAGCAATCAATCTCAGACAAACTGTTTTTTTCATCACTGTTGGGCTAAAAGACAAGACATATATCTCGGAGGTTTGTCCAATTGGCTCTTTTTTGCTACATAAATGCAAAAACGGTGGTGCTACATTCAACGTTGGTAGTCAAGTGGTGCACTCCATTAGGTGGCTTTATCAGGGCTTAAATGAAAGCAAAAACATAGTCCTAATAATTAAAACAAAAATCTTCGAATTTTACACCCCGAATGAAAAGTTGTAGTGATTTTATGAAAAATAATGAATTTTAGCCAAAATCATATTATTAGTGATATTTACGCTCTTATTAAAACAGCTGTAACTTTTGAATGGAGGCAAAAATAGAATAAAATTTTTTTCTAATCGATAGGTCTTGATCCCAGCTTTTATTTTAGCTCAGTAAGCATAGTCAAAATGTTAAAGGAGCTTAGCTACACGTGCTAGAAAGTGATACAATTCTTCGAAAATCGATAAAAAACTGACTTATACAAAATTTCGTATAACTTTTGACCAGCAAATTTTATAGATGCATCGCTTTAGATATTTTTCACTGATTTTGTGTGCAGTAGAAAAACCATGAATAAATTTTTTTTTAACCAACTATTTAAAAAAAAATTTTTCAAGTCGATCTGAGTAAGTTACGGCAGAATCACCCATATGTATATATTATATCTTCCTAAATTGTATAGTTGTTTTCACTATTCTCTAAGATTTGTTTCCCATCCTTCCCCACGCTGCCCACAATTAACGTTATTTTTCTTTTATTTTTGACCTTAATCAGACAGTTAGAAACTTTCCCACGCTGCCCCACCCCTTCCCCACGCTGACCCATCCTTTTTCCCTTGCCAAATCCTTTCTTTACCCCTTCTTAACCTTTTATACATTACACTTATTAATGGCAAAACTTTCGGACACGTTATAAATTTTTTATTTTATTTTAAAATGATTTCAAAATTGAGATAATGTTATCCAAAAATAAAATCGTATACAAATCAATAAGATTTTGAATAATACATGTATGATATGTGATAAATATGTTAAGATTTCAAAACAGTTTAATGCATTCATTAAATTGATTACTTATTTAATTTTGTGTAAGTTTAAATGTTTTTGTAGAGCATCTTTATTAAAAATCCTTTTTCTCATTGTCAACGAATATTTTTGTTGATGACTGTTTTGTGCGTTAAGCGGTGCTTTTTCAAGTGATAAACTCTTTTGTTACTGTTGTTACAGGTGTCACATAAATAAATTTTTCAAAATTTGTGCTCGTCTAAGTGTTTCATAAAATTTTTTCTACGTTTGATTATTTTTCCGCAATGTTGACATGTATAACTTTCTTTTCTATGAATTTTTATTTATTCGGTTACTGAATAGTAATCTTTGAATTAAAAAATGCAATAAT